TTAACATCACCAAACAAAACAGAAAAACAGAAAAATAATGATAAATTGACATATTAGTGCTTTGAATACGTCCAATCCTCTATTAAACTCACATTAGCGAAAAATATAAAACAAATATTTCTAAAAAAATAAAATGACCAAAATACTCCTGAACGATTCAAGGGGTATTTTGATCACTATATTTTATCCAAAAATTATTTTTAATATTTTTTGTAGGTGCGCCCTAATGACAAGATGACACTTACCAAATTTCATATTCATACAATTTGTATAAAAATAAATAAAAAATAAAATACTTTAAGACATCGGATCTAAAATCAAACGGTGAGTGGCTCTCTGGATCAAAATTGGATGGCTGGATAGTAGGGGAAACATAGATCTTCTATGCTATAGGAGAAGTATAGAAACCTTTCCCATTTGGCATCTGATCAAAAGAATGATGGTCTATTTGAAGGACCCGGTTTCTATGCAGCCAAACTCGCATATGTAGAAATGCGGGCCTATTAACAAATCTATTTTTGAGATGGATTTTTGGATTTAATTTTTAAAGACATATAATATCTAACATGGAGATCATGAATATGAAAAAATAAGTAAATTTTAAAAGCTAGAAATAATAGTTCTATTAAGAAGACATTTGGACCGTTAGTATTCATTGTTTTAAGATGAATGCTTTACACTTTTTGGACCTCATATGTGTCATGCCGATCCAACCCGCAGGAAACAATTTTTCCTATTTGAAATCTGATCAAAAGAATGATGGGCTATATTGTAAGTGAGATAAATAAAATATAAGGTATTTAGTCAAATTTATTAGAAGTTCTCCTAGAAATTCCTTAATTTGAATGAATTAATTAAAGACCAATCAATCAAAATGACGTGTTCTATGACTTCTTACTCTGGGATCCATATCTTGGACCTCAACGCTAGAATTTGCTATGCCCCATATCCCTGAAAATGGGGTAAAGAGATAGAAATATCACCTCGCTTGGTTAGATTGTTTCAATTTTTTGAGATTGTACATTCATCTTTCATAAAAAGATTGTATACTACGAGACCTCTCTTTCCCTCGATATTTGAATGATGTATTTTTTAAACGGTTATTTCAATAATAAAAATTTATCCAATTATAGCTATATCAGACCACGTGAAACATGCGTGCATATCACTAGTTATTTGTAGTTTTTTGGGTTGGTGTGTTTATTCTTGCAAATGTTTGAAAACTGTTCATTTTGCTTCACACTGTGCGTTATATGCCTATACAACAAAGGCGCATGTTGCATACACAAAACAATTTCTTCCTATTGCCAATAAAACCAAAGTAGCTCACTCGTTTTTCAAATAGTTAATGACATGGACAAAAGAAGAAAAGAGTGAATATATATATATATATATAGCTTACCGCATGTAGCATCTCTTTTGGGAACACACTGTAGATTAATACCCTCAGGAAAAAGCCTACTTGGGAGATTTTTTTTAAAAAAAAATTTATTTATTTTATCTATGTACTTTTAGGATCAACTTAAAAGTCATCATATGATTATTTTCACAAAAAAAAAAAAAAAGAATTGCATCAAGTTCTTCAAAACTTAGATCTTGCCTTTAAAAAAATTGGACAGTCCCTGTCCGATCTTGACACATCCCAAGATTGAATAGGTGAATAGGATCCATCCAACTTTTGGTGATACTAAGATGGATCCCAAAATTTTTGGTGATACTTAGATGGATCCATCAATAACTCAAAATCTGTTTCTTCCCCTCCTCCCCCCCCCCCCCCACACACCCACACCCACACCCACACCCTAAAAAAAAAAACCATTTGGTGGTACTTGGATGGATCCCATAATTTTGGATTAAAAAGTTCTTCCAAGTGCTCTTTTGCCCACACCCTAAAAAAAAAAATCATTTGGTGGTACTTGGATGGATCCCATAATTTTGGATTAAAAAGTTCTTCCAAGTGCTCTTTTGCCCTTGGGATTTGTTGTACAGTATGCTCTTGTAGGAGCATCCTATACGTGCTATTCTCTGTGCGTGTATGACAGAGGGAGAATGATCGGAATACCCATAAAAGATGAACTACGCAATATCTTACCTATTTGAAACTATTCCACCCCATGATCACATGCCTTTTAAATGGTATTTTGACTTAAAATTGAAAAACATGAGCAGAATTTTAAACAATTTATCTCTCCTAGGTGTTTGGATAATTTTGATTTTATTATTCATTTTTTAGCATGGAATACATTGTTCAAAGTGCTCCCATATTATCTTAAGGACCAAATGACAATCCTTCATTCAAACTTTATAGGAGATTTCAATAGGGATTTTGTTTTTTGAAATTGTAAGGATTAAATTCTTATGCCTAGGGTTGGACTTCCCATGACTCCTAAGCTTGCCATCGAATGGTGGGACTGGAACAAGACTAAAAGCTTTTAAAGAAAAGGGCCATGGCTACCAAACCCATGGTAGTTGCCCTTGTTTATTCTTTATTAAATGAAACAAGAAATACTTTTTGCGCAAATTGCAGAGATCATGTCTCTGTCCCAAGTTTATCTGCCCCCATAGTGACCAAGCCAAAGTGGGGCCTAGTTACATGGAAAGAGCTGCTAATCACTAGGTTTCCAATGGGCCACGACCGTGGTTTTGGACCTCTGGTTTTCATCATTTTCTCTGGATTTTTATGAGGACCAAAGTTTAAAAATCGGGATTGGAACCCGACTTGATAGGGTTTTTGTTGGAACTTGTGTCTTTTAAGCCGTTTTATTCAAAATATTCAATTATTATGAGCATAAACATATTATATGATAATCAAGCAGTGATTACCTCTCGCTCTTGACAGTGGAAGGATGATACATTGGTGCGTAGACTGCCCAATCAAACCCCAGTCCTCCATTCTCACAGTTTTTAGTTTTGATTTTTCTCGATTCGATCCGGATGAGTTTCAAGTAGCATTGGCTTACAATTTGTAAACCACCTCCTCGGAGCCTCACCTATTCTTAAAGGGAAAGTCTACTATGAGACTCCGTCTCAGGAGTCCACCTAGGTTTTTCATTTCTCCAAAAATGATGCATATTTGATGATATGTAAGAAGTAATATGGATGGTGCAAAAAGAATTAAAAAATCTTATTTTTAAATTTAACAATTTATTTAAGAGTAATGATCCTATGAGATCCTCCCACACCCATGTGTGTAGGATTCTAAAGCATCATCATTAAATTTGGCACAAATCTCTAAAAAAATTAAGTCCCACACCCATGTGATAACTTTTCTAAAAATCTGTGCCAAATTCAATGGTGATCCTTTAGGGCCCTACACACATAAGTGTGGGAGGGTCTCATAAGATCATTACTCTTTATTTAAACTTTCATATTCATGATAACCATGATCGAGATTATCAACCCCTAAAATTTTATAATCAAATTCCATTATAAGATGGATTTCAAAAGGGAAATGCATATAAACACTTGCATTGATTGACCATTTTGTATGGCGGATGCATATTAGCATATGAATCGGCTGACGCACCAAAACCTCACCACAGGACCGAGTGCCCTTTCAATCATTTCCATATGTTCGATTCTTAACGTTTCCATCATATTTGATTTCAATTCTTTCACATTTCACTTTATTATAAGCAGTGTTTTAAGAAACGGAATATTGGGGTGGATTGCCCACTCATCAATGTTGATCAAGACAGGCGATCTTTCATGAAAAAAAAAAAGAAAAAAATTTAAGGGGTTTATTTAAAAAGGTGTATGCTAGCCAACTAAGCTAATATAGTTCAGCATACATGGAATTTATTATATCTATTATATGCTTAAGAGAATCGACATGGTGTTCATCGATCCCTATCTAGATTGGTAATTTTATGGATACTGATTATAAGCAATGTCCATTAATTAGCTTATCATTTTAATTTTCCTCAATGAAGCTACTTCTCTTTCAATTTTCGATAACAGGGTGCATCCAAGTAGTTTGCTCCCACTCAAAGTATTTTATTTTCGATGTCTCAAAGTATTTTATTTTTAATTTTTTTTATGAAAATTGTATGAATATGAAATGTGGTAAGTGTCATCTTCTCATTAGGGCACACCTACAAAAAATATTAAAAATAATTTTGCGATAAAATATAATGACCAAAATACCCCTTGAATTTTTCAGGGGTATTTTGATCATTTTATTTTTTGAAAATATTTATTTTATATTTTTCACTGGTGCGAGTTTAATAGGGGATGGAACGCACAAAATTTGGTGTCAAAATAGTTTATAGAAAAAAACTTAAAAAATAAAATGGCGTAGAGACGTGACATTGTGATTGGGACAATTTTAGCTCTCCATTCATAATGGATCGGTTGGATAAGGGGAAGTATATAGTTTTATGTTGTAAAGAAAGCATAGAAAGCTTGCCCATGTTAAATAGTTCAACATTTATGTGGATAAGTTTCACCTATGGTAAATACTTTTCAAAGCCATCACTGCTGTTATGGACCATCTCTTTCCTTCTCCAATTTTCAGTGTTAGCTTATGAGAATTAAAAGGAAACAGGTAATCTCTGAGCAAATTTTGTTTATTTCTTTGGACTCTCTAAAAATCATATTAGGACATATAGGACCTGAAAATTTGCAAACAGCACTTGATTCACCTTGAGATCAATTCCAATCAATTCCAACATAAAAAGAAACAATATCAAGCTCTTAAAATTCAGATCTTGTTGCCAAAAAATGGACACTCCAGAGTCGTGCCGGCAGTGGGGTTTGGTGGGGGGGGGGGGGGGGCAGTTGGTGTGGAGTGTTGGCGGTTGAAGCATCAATGCAGTAGAAATGCAGTTGGAGGGGGGCCGGCGGGGGGAGGGAAGGGAAGCACAAATGCAGTAGAAAATTCACGAAACAAATGATTTTCCCAAACTATGTATGAAAGTAGTCTAATCAAAGGGAGCAACCGTATTGGAGAATTTCTACTCTTAGCAATGACAAAATACAAGGGGAACAAGAAGCAAATGTGATCTTTCTGCAAAATAATCCACACTAGCTGTTATTTTATCAACAATAGTGCAATTCATGACAGTCGTGGCACTCATTTTTGATGATAGGCTCTTGGAGAGTACCATTTATTGTTTTGTACACAATCAGGATGATCTTGAGTAGCCTTTGATGATGATTAGGGCTGCCAACTGGCCAGGCCGGCACCCAAGCTTTACTCCTCGGAGTAAAGGAAAGCGGCCAAGGAGTCTGATTCTTGAGAAGAATGACCCTCATGGAAAGTATTTTCCATCCAATCTCTGCAATCTGGAGAGAAATTATTTTGGAAACAGAGAGATATGCTGCCAAACTCATCTTCACTATTATCTAGCACTAACTTCTCACATGATTGAAGAAACTCAGTGCCAATACAAAGGTCTCCAATGTCAACGTCCATGAATGTAGGGAGAACTGATAGAGCTGGAGGAGCATTCGAAGATGCGGTTTTGTCGTGGTGAGCTGTGGATTCCGTCATAGGATCAATGGTTGGAGCCTCTGGTGCAACTGGGCTCGTTGTGGCCGTGATCCCAATGCACCTCGAGGCCTTTGTTCTCACAACAACTGGGTTGGGCTTGGCCTCCTCCTTTAAGACTGATCCTTGCCCATTTGCACTGCCTTGCCTATTCTTGGTAGAGTTTTTCTGATGCTTCTTGCCCAAATTTGTGTTCCAATAGTTCTTGATTTCATTGTCTGTTCGGCCTGGCAGTCTACCTGCTATTAGAGACCATCTGCACAAATGGAAAATGAGGAAAAATTTAAGAGACCCACTTCAAGAGATTTTATATGTTTGTATGGGATGAACTCTCTCTCTCTCTTGTGTGTGCGTGTTGAACCTGTTGCCGAGAAGGTTGTGGAGTCTAATTATAAGGTCTTCCTCTTCACAGGAGATGTTGCCTCTTTTGATGTTGGGTCTCAGATAATTAAGCCATCTCAGTCTGCAACTCTTTCCACACCGTTTGAGGCCTACAAAACAATTCGGTTATATCAAAGGAGATCCTAACAAGGGGGCTTAGAGATCAAATTCTAATTTTTACTGCTTTTGATAATTATGACGACAATGGATATCATTTGTCTTATGCAATGTTTATACTCAGCCCTTCGCCATGAGTAACATGGCCGAGCACCTATTTAAAATGTAAGAAAACGAAAAAAACCTTAAAAAATTTCTAAAAATTAATAAAAGAATAAGAAATGTATTTAGAGTGAATAGAAACCATTAGAAGTCTAAAGAAGATGAAAAACTATAAAATGTAGACCACTGAAAAGTTCGATTTATACCTAGTACGTTTCTAAAATATTCAGAAATGGGAGAAAATATGAAAGAGTCCAAATGATACTCAAAAGTATCAAAATTATAGATTTATTTCAAATTTTTAAATCTTTTTTAAAATTTTTCAATTTTTTAGGGCCACTAAGGCGAGGTCGAATCGGTCAAGACCGAGTTCCCAGTGGACTCATAAGAACTGTGATATGGATTGTTATGGTGCTTCAGCATAACGATGATTCGACTCAACTGGCTCCCAAGGTTCTTATCTCGAAGTCGGCAGCCTACCGAGTCCGAGTAACACAAGCGTTTCCAATTGGACTCGCCAAGTCTACATGACTGATGAGTATGAGATACTTATGGTGATGGTGGTGATGAATGATGAATATGAGATAATTATGGTGATGGGCGAACCAGATCTTTTGGGGAGGGCTCTCCATTTGCCCTCCCCATGAGTGTTGATGTATCGAGTGAGGATCGTATCTTCTTGGGCAGTCCATGCTCCTTTGGTGAGGCCCTCCTCCTTACTGTAGCAAGGCCTTCTTCCCATCTCTAAAGGCCCAATTGTCTTTCAAGGGATGGGCCGAATAATTTTCTTGCACACCATCTTTCACAAGCCGATATGCATTTTATAGCCACACAGTTTAGGGGTTTTCATCAGATCTCACAAGCTCACAAATGAATAGCTCAAGGTCTCTTATTTCAGTGAATTATTGTACGACTTCTTAGTTGTCATGAAAGCAATCAAATAACTTGATGTTACGTTTCTTTTTTTGTACTTTATATAAAAGGTGTTATTAAATACTATTTAAATCAAATTTTAGAAATGAAGGAGATACGGGGTTTAAAAAATGAGCATGTATGGTGTAATCTCGTGGGAGCATTATTGTACACGTACTCCCTCGATTGAAATACTTAGTTAGTAGGACAGTTTCAATTTAATATTTTGGAATCTTTGTAAGAATTATCGAATGACCTTATGAAACATTGGATTTTGAGTTCTTAAATACTTTAATACGAGAATCCAAAAATTGGACGTCTCTTTCAATCTTGGGATGTCATATTTTTTTTGGTCAACTATAGGTTTTGAACAAAACTTCACTAATTTCTTTGAAAGACAAATATTAGGTATCGAACTTGGGATCAAGGGGTTAGTGGTTGGCTTTCGCAATGCTACATCTCGAATTTGATCGCTACCTCTGAATTATCCACAAAATAAAAAAGTCAGATGTTGATATGAACTATGATTTTCCAAATAGTAATAACAATATATGAATTTTGTCCTTTTCATTCTCTTTCTTTTTTCAATATTGGTTCGAAAAGAGAACCAAATATTTGGGGAGAAGAATTGGAGAAAGAATGGAAATGCCAGGGTTTTATTTTCAAGTGAAAGGTCAATGAAGAAATTTTTGAGGACAAAAAGAAGCCCAATTATCTATCACGGGATAGCCTGCATAAAATAGGTTATCTTTTTCTTGTGAGTGGGCCTCATGTATTGCACCTTGGCATATTAACTATTGGATTAGTTCACTAATTTTTTTAAAATTTTTCTTTATTGAGAAGCCTAGCCGTCATAGGGTTGCCTAGCCAAAAGAACACTTATTTAGGGTTTCTTTCAATTCATCTACCCTTCCAATTGGAGGCTTGTCAACCAACATTCCAATTAGATTTTGAAAGTTTGTTGCCTCTTTCTCTCCTTTCCCTTTCTCCTTATTGCCCTCTTCATTCCATGTGATCAATTTTCACCTTATACCACAGAATTTAGATATGCTATATTTCTAAATATTTCAGGCCCTAGTACTTAGTGGGAGTATAATGTCCAGTTATTCCCCCTGGTAATACCCAATCCAGGATTATTTTTAGGACCTAAAATTTGGGGATGCAACCTCTTCAATCTAGTGACTAATCTCCATAAAAAAATAAAATAAAAGAAAAAGTAAAAAAGAAAAGATAAAAAGAAAGAAATAAATTCTCAAATCACACTCTATGTGCACACACGCAAAAATCCAATTTTTGAAGAGTGAGATTTATGTATTGAGAACTTGAAATCAAAACTTTTCGTTTTGAAAATAACTATCTACTAATTTTTAATAGGATCCCAAAATTTTAGAAATACTTCCAAATAGTCATTTTGGTCAAGGGAGTAAGAGTATGCTATGCTCCCAAGGGAACATAGTACACGCACTAAAATTATTTTATAGAAATTTTTCAAGCTATTAACTATTTAAAATTTTACAAAATATCCAGATTTTGAGTTGGAATAGGAGAAAAAAGATAAAACGTTAAATAGCTGAAAAGTGATCTATATTTTGATAAAGAGCACATATATGATGGAGCATAGTTTAATTCTACTCCCTCTGTCAGATGACCTACTTAGAAGGATTTTTTCAATCTGACATTTTGGTAAGCAGTAGATGATTATTCTTAAAAAAGAAAAACAATGGAATTCGAGTTTTCTAATACTTAGAACTCACCCTCTAAAAATTGAACAGTTTGTATTTAATATTGAGACATTATTTTTTTCAAGTGGTTAGAAGGTAGAATTAAGAAAAAGTTAATATGTGTATTAAAGAGGTTTTATTCCCAAAATTTGGGGTCCCAAAACTAATCCTAGATACGATTTTGCCCGGGAATAAATGAGCAGTATACTTCCAAAGGCGTAGAATATCTTTTGACTTTGATAAATTTCTCATTATTTTCCTTTGTGGACTTAGGCAATGTCCCCATAAACTTTTGTGTTGGAATGCTTGCGTGTTCTACACGAGAGAATCTTGTGTGTGTTAGAACGCGTGTTTGTTCTACACAAGAGAATCACAACCAATCATTGTTTGTTCTATACAAGAGAATCACAGCCATTCATTCTTCATCATCTCTCTAATATCAAAAGTGAAATTTTATCAAAATGCATCAAAGAGATTAACTATTTAACATTTTTACACCTTTTTTATATTTAATTTTGAGGTGCCCATCAAAATCCACATATTGTAACTTGGAATAGTTCTAAAAAGGTTACCATATTAAATAAGGAAAAAGTTTATATGAGGTTGGCACCTTACAATGTAGAATTAAGATGCACCTCAAAAATCCTTCGAAAAATAATGTTTTGATGTTGTAAAAACATTCTAATTGATCATCTCGACATCCAGATTATTGATCTGGAGAAAAGAAAGATTTCAAATCTAAAAATAGTACATTTTGTAACAAATTATCTAGACCGTCCATTTTCAAGATTTTGATCCGTTTATATATCAGCTTGATTTGAAACATTTTTGGAGTTTAAAATTTTATAATTGTCGATGAAAATAGATTATCGTACCTTAAGAACTTTCAACAACAAAATTGCATCTTATGATAAAGTCTGTAGGTGTGTCTTACTTTGATTGTTTAATGTTACAAATTTATGAAAACCACCCTCATTAAATAATAGATAATTTTTTAAATTAAGAAAAGCCTTCAATTCTCTGGTCCACTCTGGTAAACAATCTCTTTCATATTCTCACACTCGGTTCCATCTCTTTCACCTAAATAATCTCATTCGTGTGTCTTATTATTTTCCGTTTGCCTAGATGTAAATTACGATTAAATCCGACCAAATCATAAAATATCACAAATTGTCTCTTAGCTTCTCTCTTTCTTATATTTACTAAAGAATATGTCTACTACTATCTATCAGCAATCCTATACTCTCTTTCTCGAGTAGCACCCATACTATTTTGGGATCGTATACAAAGGGATAATTTATCTTTTGTAGAAGGAAGTCGCAACTATTCCCACTTAAGAAATCCAAGTTTGTTTTTTATTTTTTGTTTTTAAAAAAACAGTCTAATCAATGACACTCTTACAACTATCCATTTTGAAATCTAAAGAACAATAAAAATTGTGACCTCCTTATACAGAAGATAAATGGTCTTTTTGTAAACAATCTCTACTATTTTACCTCTCATTTCCTATTTTTAAATACAATGCTACTATATTCCTTCTCTCTCTCTTGACTAGTATGTCCCGATACTAATCTATCTCTCATTTCCTGCTTTTAAACACAAGGTTATGTAGTTTAGGGAATTATTCAACCCAGTGTTCGCAAAATTGAACCAAAACGGTTAATCGAACATGGGGCTGGGAGTGGTTAGAACTGGAATCGAACTAACCGGTGTTGTTAACCGAACTAACCAGTCAAGTAGATTTTATTTTTTAAAAAATAGGTCAAAAACCCCTAAAAAAATAAAATAAAAATTAAAGAAATAGAAAAATGTAGATTAAGTGTATAATATCTTATTACATACATTTTTCTAACAAAAATATATATATATAACAACTTTTTATATTAATTAATATTTAAATACTATGGTCGAATACTATGGTCTTGTACATGATATCAAGCACGACACATAAATCTTTTTATTTTCTAGAATGAAGTCTGATAATACATTTACAAAACCTTACCACAAATGTATTTCCCCTATGTAAATATGGACTCTAGATATTCAGGTGTTGCAGAACATCACACTAGTCTATGCTTATTACTAATATATTTACGCACTCTAGTTTCAAGTTTTACAATACTTCAAGATATTGCTAAACACAATTAGAAATAATGAAAAAGAAATTGATCCACCAACTTTTACATGTCCATCTAGAATTTTATCGGTAAAAGACGAGATGTCACAAGGTAGAGAGACCGATACATATAGGTTTTATATTAATGAAAACATATTTTTATAAAAATAAATAAATTTATCAAAAATATTATTTTATTAAGAAAAATAGAAAAACACCTTCAATATTTATCAAAAATAATAATTTCATTAAGCAAAATAATTTTTTTAAAAAAAATCGATTTCGTAAAAACTTCTAAAATCGAGCAACATTTCAAGCAAGAAACAACCATCAATATTCAGATAATCGAACAAATCAACACACAATTACTGTAAAGGCTTCGAACATCTTTTCAAATACACCAAAAATCATAATAAAAAATATTCGTTATATTTTATTTAATTGAAAAAATTGTGAAAAATTCAGATCTGTGAAATCGAGCAAGAAAAAAAATTATATAAAAATATTTACTCAATAATAAATAAGCATACCTATTTTATAGGACAAATGAAGCCTTGATGATCAAAATATACAAATCAAATTGATAAAAAACGACTAAAAAATTGATCCAAAATCTGTTTTTTTTTTATCGAATACAGGTTCTTCGCGCAACAGCTTTTCGGGCCAAAATCAGCCCCCAATGTTTTGTTTTTTGAACAAATTAAAAGAGTTATATGGTAGATGATTCATTTACGATTAAAATCCCTCAAATTTCAACAAAAACCATTGACTATTGAAGATGATATTGATGAGATGGCAGAAATTTCATCCACAAAATCTCTTGATTTTTCAATATTGGATTTGAATTTACTTGTTTTATAGAGAATAAGTAGTGTTTTACATTGGGGTAATACATTTTTAGTAAAATTGAAAAAATCAACCTGAATATCTAGAGTGCATATTTACATTGGGGTAATACATTTGTGGTAAGGTTTTGTAAATTTATTATAAGGCTTCATTCTAGGAAACAAAAAGATTTAACTGACCTCCCAAATATAACGGGTTTTTATTCTGTTTTTCAACCCATGAAAAATGCCCAAAAATGGCA